CCCCAAGTCAGTCAAATGAATCAGAGAGGGAGAGAGAGAGAGAGAATCCATGATGTTGTAAGACTAAATGGCCATCTAAAGGAACTAGGCAAGTACAGGCGAGGAAGTCCTTTGTTATAATCAGCTTCAGTGGTCCCAGTTACAAGGAGGCCACTTTGTCAAAAATGAAGGTGGCTAAGGTGCAGACTCTGTAGATGAGGCAGTGATGGGTCACCAAGCTTAGTCCCTGCTTGGACTCGGTTGAGCCTGCTTTCTGCTGCTAAGTGTGTTCCTTTATTTGTGTCACCAAGAGCCCAGTGTCTGCCACCTGGGGTTGTGGCAGAGTTGAGCTCTGTGGATTATATACTGGCCCTGTTGGAGGCAGGTTGGTCTCTGTGCACTGGGGTCTTAGACATCGCTGGCCTGTTTTGTACGCTCATACCTACACAATAATTTGGGTCATGAGTGAGTGTTGACAAACTGCCACCCTGCTCTCACTGCCAAGTCATACTTTGAACTCCGATGTGCTCAAACAGAGGCTAAAAGCTGGGCAGCCCCTAGGCACTTGCCAGGGAGACTAGTGTCTCCTGGGAAGCCACATTCTTTCTGAGTCCTGGCAGGAGCAGGGGCCCAAGGTGTTTGGGCAGCAATGAAAGGAATGTTTATATATTTGGCAATTCAAGTATGGGGACACACGTGCATGTGTCCATATGCACAGCTGCAGAGGGGATTTCTGAGAGACATCACACCCGAGAGGAACCCTAAAGTATAGCATCCAGAGAGATGAAAGCAAGAACTACAGAAGAGGATTGAAGAGGACACAGCCACAAGAGGGTAGTAAAGGTCCAATGAGCAGCTTGTAACAGTATTTTGCCAGTGATTCTTCGAGGAAAATGAATTTGGTCAAAGGACCAGGAAGTAAACAGTGTGGTTAGGTAGCTGTGAAAACACCTGGCAGAGGAAGCAGGCTCTGGGGCAGCTATCCCCTATGTGGGTGAGGTCGTCTGTCAGCGCAGGGCATCTTCATTTGAGTCCTGGGCCCATGGAGGTGTGTGTGGCTTGGCTCTGCCCTTCCAGTGCACAGCCAGTGTTGAACCCACTGAGTCCCAAGGGCTCTTGTCTCCCGCATCTGCCCCAGGTTATTAGAGTGATCAGTTCCCTCCCTCCCACTGCCCTACATTTTGGTGACTGGAGAATGGTTCCTTTATCTGGCCTAGGACGCCCGTGCCACTCTGTCTGGGACAGGAAGGACAGAAGGATACCCAGGAAACAATTAGAAAGGCTTCTTTGGGATAGTTGGGGTCTCCAGCGACATCGTAGCCTGTATGATGGGGCTCCCCACAGTGCATCTCCCTCTATGAGATACCCAATATGGACTGTTGTCACCTCTGCTTGACCCAAAGTGCTCCCCCCACCGAAAACAGCAGAGCCCCCCCCATGAGCAAGGGCTGGCTACAGCACTCACTGAGACTGACAGTGACCACTGCTGCTATCAGTGATAAGCTATCATACCTAGTAAATTGGTATCCCCAATCTTATATGCAAGGGAAGCAGAAAAATCAGGACTCGACGAAGGATGAAACTAGCATTTTGTGGTATCATATCAAATTAGTGATTTTGTTTCTTTTCTTCAACCTAGAAACTTTTCTTTTACCTAGTGCCTAGTGTGTGTCAGGCACTGCTGTAGGCACCAGGACACGGCAGTGAACAAGACACATGAGAATTCCTGCCTGAGTGGAACTTACGTTCTACAGGGACCTGGCATAATGACTAAATGAGCAGCTAATACACACAGTGATCAGAGGCTGTGAGATGAAGTTGAAGATGCTATGAAGGGTAGTATATGTGAGCCTTTTAAATAACAAAGTTGGAGAGGGCCTTCCTTGCTGAAGGGGAGTGGTGAAGCAAAGATCAGCAGGCAGTGAGGAAAAGAAGTCATAATGTGCAAAGGCCCTGAGGCCAGAGGGTGCCTGGTAGCTTTTGATGGCCCAGTCTCTGGCCAAGAACATAGTGGGCCTGGGCAGGCTTTTGCAAGGTCTTGGCTCTTACTATGTCATGGGAAACTTTTCATGGAAAGCCATCCTTCGGAATGTAGAAACAGATTCTGCAATAACTCATTTCACTGCTTGCTCTTATTACATTACCAGGTTGCTTTGGTTGGGGAAGATTCCATTTATATTCAGTCTTAAAACCAACCCTCACCTTTATGTTAGACAGATTATGTATGTGCAAACATATATCCTTGAGATACTCTTGGGAGAGTAAAAGTGTAGCAGTGTGCATCAGTTTATATATACATAATTAAGGTTTGTGAACTTTCTTTTTAAAGTTTTGTTTTTTTATTTAAAATAGTAAAATCCAAATTTTAATGAATTACCTTGCAAAATTTTTAGAAACAGTCATATTGCTAGCATGATTGGGGATGATGGCTTCTGTGTTCTTCCTGTAATTACGAGTTGCACACCCATACAGACTATACAGGCTGCAGGGTATCTCAGGCATCTCTGTAGGGTGACCCCCTCACTAGCAATGGGTAGGATCTGCAGCCAACAGGAAGGAAGCTGAGGTCTCTGTCTGGAAGACCTATACTCACATGGACCAGTGACATTAGCAAAAGGGGAAGAGTATTGAGAGGTCTTGATAGCTGCTACTTTAAGGCTTTTGGGAAGTGTCTGCCTGCTTCCTGGTGCCAGGAGTGCTGGCCACATCTGGATTTCTTCACAGTGTTTCTCTTCTAGGGCCAAGAGCAGGGGATTGTCAGCAGGCACCCAGGCCATTCCTCCATGTCAAAGGGGTTAAGGCCAGAGCTAGCTCACTCAGACACCAAAGTACTTTCTCAATTACTAGAAGCCCTGGAAGAAAAGAACACTGGAGGATTTGAATATGTAAAGTCCTCACTATGACAAGGGACAAAAAGCATGTCATGAACAAAGAAATCTCAAACATGCCGTAGGTTTCTTCAGCCTATACTTAAACAATGAAGACTCACACAATGACCCAAAGTCTTCTTTTTTCTTTCACAAATTTCTCAACATTGATACCTACAATCCTGACCCCATCTTTGTTTGTTGTTGTGGGTTTTTGTTTTGTTTTGTTTTGTTTTTGTTTTTAATGAATGTGGAATATATTTCGATGGGAGGGATCTGTTTTTGCAGTTAGAAGAGTTTGCAAAATAAACTTATGGATGCTAAGGTGTGTGTGTGTGGGGGGGGCTGGGTACAGTTGGCCCTGCTCCAGAGACCTGGGGTGGGTACTGCATGGGGACCCCGAGGCCTGCATTGGGATGGATTCTTTCATCTACTGTCATGCTGAGCTACTTATGACAATACGCTACCAGAACTTGTAAGTTGAGGAATTTTGGAGAACATTTTAACTTTGTAAAGCAGTAGATTCTAATGGCACTGGGTACCAATAGGTAAGGGAGGGGGCAGAGCTGCTTAGAGACAAATTTTTCAACAACAAGACTGATGCAGCACCACAAACCCATACACAGAAAAACAAACAAACAAACCAAACAAACAAAAACCAAAGTGCTCTGTTAAAAAGAAGACATCCACACAGTCCCAGCTCCAGAAGGTCCACACCAAAGCACTGAGACTCCACAATTCTACAGTGCAGCCCTGCCCACCTCAAGCTATTCTTCTAAGGGACAGCCCTATGAACATAAGGGTGCAAGGTATTGCTCTGTGGCACGTTCTGAGGAGCATAGAAAAATAATTTATATTGGACGGTTTAAAGTTGGCCTGTCAAGCTTGAGCGCGACAGTGCATAAAGTTGATAGACAGCATACACTGAAAAACTACTTCCCTTGCCAAAGTCATATGCGTGTGACGGAGATGTGAAATAAACTTCTGAAGTCATCTCCACAGGGATTCTTCTGGACACTTGCTGTTACTTACCCCACCCCTCAGGAAGTCTGGACAGATCAGACGGGGAACCCTACTCGCTGGGACTTTCTCTACAAAGGGCTGTCAAGTCAAAGAGGGCTGTTAGGAAACAACCCACCGGTTCCCGTCTCCAGTCACTAAGCCTGGCCAGGGAGCACAACATGAAGTGGTCTGTGGGTGCTGTTTTAATACGGCACAGAAGCTGGATTTCTCACCGAAAGCAATGGCTGTTCCTAACTACGTGGGCTGGAGTAGGGCACCAGCTGGTGCTCCGCCTTGTCCAGCTGAGACCAAGGGGGGGGGGGGGGGGAGGACTGGGGTCTTATCTTTGGCCAGGAGAGCAAGGCTACATTCTGGGTCTATGCCCTTGGCTTTTTTGCATGAAACATTCATCATCAGACTGGGGAGAGGGAGAAGTGACCTGACAGTGACGTAGATAAGAGTCTGCCTCCACCGTTCAAGTGCGCACAGCCACTATTCTGTTTGGGAGGGTTTTTGCTATGACAACAAACTACTTTATTTCACAATTTGCCCTACTTATTATTTATTTTTCTGGCAGAGGGCACGAGAAAGATAAAAGATTTGCATAGCCAACTTTGAAAAATGTCTAGTTGGCTGTTTCTAACATCACAGTATGAGAAAGAACAAACCTGAATTCCTGCCTCCAGTGTAGACGCCCTGGGGTTCTGAACACACATTGAAACATTAGTTGGGTTGTTAGACTAGGCCACTGTGCTAGAAGCAGAGGCTTCTGTGACCTACAGCTTCGGGGGCGGGGTGGGGGGGGGATGAAGCAGCTGCTCAGGTGATGTGTTATAAAGAAACTGCCCCTCCCCCTCAATCACTGCCACAAACCCTCTCAATGAGAGATCATTTTGAGGGTCACTTTGTTCTTTTCTGGGCAACAAAAGAAACCCCAGGACCAGCCAGGACATGGGTATTAGCAACCGCCACACATTTCAAGCCTCTTGTTCAGCACGAAAAGCAAACTTTGAAAAAAAGAAAACTTCCTGAAGAGTCTACTTAACAACTTTGATTTAAGGAACCACTTTATGCAAAACCGCAATACATTACTGAAGACTCCCCACAGGCTGTGGCGTAACCAAAAACAAAAAGAAATTACTCACTGGAGATACTCAGTTATTTTATTATCATTTTCCAAACAAGTAAAAAAAAAATTCCCTCCCCATCTTTTGAAAATTTTAATTTTTGCTTTTGCTGCTCTGGGTGTCACGGGGATGAAGCATCCTTTCAGAGGGAGAGGCTGGCTCCAGGGAAGGTGTGACCCAGTTCCCGAACTTTCTGAGGATAAGCAGGTGCTTTCTCCTGTTTTAGGGTCTTCAGGGGCTAGTCTAAAGCTCTCACAGGTATGAATGTGTGGCTTTGTTAGTGAGGATTTTACCCATCTTACCCATAATTCCTGGAAGCAAGCTAGCTCTTTAGTGAGGACTAGCTCCTCAGTGTCCTTGGCCAAGAACAGTGGTCTGCAGAGGTAATCTTGGAAGGAAAGGCTGCATATTGCTGCTCAAAACAGGGTAGCTAAGGACACATTATTATTTTTTAAATTTTCCTCAAGAAATGTAGGAGGCACCAAAAAGGAGACTGTTCAGAGACTGGGCTGCTCCCTCGATGTGGCATGGAGCCAGGAGCAGGGCCACCCGCCCTGGGAAGGGTCTCCACCAGCAGAGAGCCCTTTAACCTGGCTGAACCCTGACAGACGCAGGTGGGGGAGGAGTGGTTTCTTTCCCTCCCAGCCTCTCAGCCCCTACCCTATGGAAGGAGGCCAGGCTGGGTTCAAAGCAGCCCAACGGGGGCTGACACAGTGACCAAGGGGTCAATTCTGTCCCCTCCTCTGGGGCACGGATGTGATATCACCTCCTAAGGGGCCCTCCGTCAAGAGTCCACTGTACATACGTCTTCAAAGGAGACATGAGCAGCCTGTCATGCTGGCTCATGGGTGGGCCGATCCGATTGTAAGTTCAGGACCCTGCTTCTTTGCATCCCAAGCGTCTCTGGGAAGCCCCTGTCACCTGAGCTGCCCGGCACTGGGAGCGATCGCTACACCTCGCCGTGCCCTGAGAGGTAGGTTGTCCGGTGCCCATTCTGTGGTCGCCCGCGGCTTGGATGGCAGTGTGAATGTTGCTCGAGCCAGGGGGCCTTGGGAGGAGGGTCTGCTTATGAGATGGAGCTGGGGAGTCCTAAGGGGCCAGCGTCAGCGGGTAGCAAGGTGCCTGCTGGAGGTCTCCAGGGACCCAGGTGGGAAGCAGGTGAGAGCAGGGCTGGCTGTGCGTTTGCTTCTAAACCCCGCGTGCTACCAATCGCACGCAAATGACCGCTACTTGGAAGAGGTCAGTCCCTAGGTTAGGAAAAAAAAAAAAAAAAAGCATGTAAAACACTCCCTTCTAAAAACAAAGGGCTGCGATTTTCTTTATTTCTCGTATAGAGGAACAAAAATACTCTTGCAATGGCTATTGAGTTTCCACAGGTACGAGGCAGATGCTAGGCTAGCACACCCACTTCCAACAGTATGACTTGTTTCCTATCCGTCTGCTACCTGAGTGGCATCAGTGTAGGTTCAGGCACCATTAGGAACGTTTGACCAAACACGTACACGGCACTGACCGAGGAGGCGCCGGCCCTTCGGCTGCCCAGAGCAAGTAAAAAAGACCCACGGGATGGAAAAGCAGTCCCGGGCGGCTCAGGGCCGCGCCGCGCGCGCCTCGCGCCGCCGCCGCAGCTCCTCGCGGTAGCAGTAAGAGCAGAAGTGCTCGGTCTCCGCGCGCCCGTAGAACGCGCAGTTCTCCCGCTGGCAGCGCCGCTGCGCGGGCCCGGGGCCTCCTCGGCCGCCCTCAGTGTTCGAGCGCGCGGCCGGCGGCTCGGCGTCGGCGAACTCCAGCCCGTCGCGGGCCGCGCCGAAGCCGTTGCTGTAGGTCTGCGACTTGGGTTCCGCGGGGCCCGGGGCGTCCGCTCCCCCGGGCGCCAGCGACTCCACCGTGTTGACCGTGCGCAGCGCGCCGCGCGCCGGGCTGTAGCTCTGCGACCACAGCGAGCGGTTCTGCTGCGGGTAGGTGGCGCACGGCCGCAGCGCGCCCACGGCCGGCGCGCACGCCTCGTCCCGGGCCGCCGCCTGCACGTGGATG